GCGTGTGTGTGATAGAGAGAGAGAGAAAGAGAGAGAGAGAGAGAGAGAGAGAGAGAGAGAGAGAGAGAGAGAGAGAGCAGTAACATGATGAGTGTGTGAGTGCGCTCCCAAAGTTTCTGCTCACCTGGAGTGCACTTATAGAGAGCGGGGAAAGAGGTCGGTAATGACGCAGTATTTACCACCCCAGAGACACCAATGTTCACGAGGAACCGCGGGTGGCTGTCACGATGTACATAGGACAACTCTGAACAGAGTTTTGAGCTACAAGGAACCCCCGGACTCTTTTTTAAACATATTTTTTAAAAAAGTATTCTCGTACAAAGCAACACAAAATACGACCCCATTAGGAGCGGAGACCCAAGAATATGTACATACTAGGTCAAGTAACTAAGGTGTGTGTGTGTGTGTGTGTGTGTGTGTGTGTGTGTGTGTGTGTGTGTGTGTCCGTGTGTGTGGAGGGGGGGCTAACGTTAACTTTTTCCTTTGTTTCTCAGTCCAGTACGCTGCAGAAAACATGTACGCCAGGGATTTGGTAACTAATACTGGCTAATGATCTGAATATCAAGGCCGAAAGATCTGGAATGCTTTGCCCTGTAGTTAAAGAGAGATAAAATCCTTTAGCTCATTCAGATGTAAGCTAGAGTCAAATCTGTTTTCAAATTGATGAGATACATATTAAAAGAGATTCTCTTTTGGTCAGAACACAATGTATTGTATGTTACTGTTGTACTGTAAAACACCCAGAATCTGTGTACTTTAATCGGGGTTGAGCGCTATATAAATGCCATAACATAATATTATTATATTTTGATCTTAGGGATTTTTGGTGGTTTTTAAAAGTTGAAGTTAAGAGCAGCAGACCGACACAACAATAATTAATTAGTGCAGTGGAAAAGCAAGACAGATAGGCTGAACCTTCAGAGGGATATAAGTATAATTTGGTCGATTTTAAGGACAAGGGAGCTAACCCACATTTCGGGGGTTTCCAGAAATTTTGACTTACGCCAAAAGTGGGCGTTGCCCTGCTTAAAGGAGACGTTTGGTTTCATTGGTGTGTGTAGTTGTTTGGTTACAGAGAAAACTCTTCTTGTCTTTTAAAGATGAACAAGGGGCAAAAACTTTACCCCCGATTTTCTCAAAACAGCATTTTTTCGGGAGAGCCCCCTTGTGCTCACTTTACTTTACTTACTTTACTTTTCCGATCCAGCGGCCATTTGGGTTCTAGCCCTTCGGTCTGTCGATATGGCAAAGAATTTACAGGTTCCCCCTTGTGCTTAATTAAAAGCCACCATATATAGAAGTAAAAAATCCATAACAATAACAGTGGCACCCTCTAATCAACCGACGACTGAGCTCAACGTTTACGACTTTCTGAACGAGGGACGCATGGGTTATACACATGGACCTTACCCAACAAGCTCTCACACTCTATGTCCCTTTGAGGAATAAGACAAACAAACAAACAAAACTGACTGAAATGAACTCGTCCGTCGAGAGAGTACATGAACTGTGAGAGTAAGATCGAGGGAGCAGCCCATGGATGGGACTATAAATAACATTGTCTAGACATTCAGTACGTCCACACAAACCGACACGAATTAGAGCTATTGGTCCATCCAGGAATAGCATTCCCTTTTTTCCTCTTCTCTCTCTCTACGTCTCTCTCTCTCTCTCTGTCTCTCTCTCTGTACGTGTGTGTCTGACTCTCACAAACACACTCACACAACGTCTAACTAGACCCCCCCC